ACATATATTTTTTTAATATCCTAAAGTATTCTTTTAAATTTTGTTTACATAAAGTTATTTTTAATTGAAAAGTTAAAAACTACAAATTATAAATGAAAACGCGCCTAACTATTAAAGAAAAAAAATAGACTTAAAAGATTTTAAAAAAATATCAATATATAAAAATTTCATAAATGCAATATATTGTTTTTTTCGTTCCAACAACTCCAAAACTCAACAAAAATAAAAATACTATTGTTTAGCAATAGAATAGAAATGTGGGCCACCCAAATGCTTACAACTTAAAAAAAAAATCCATAATTATTGCATAGCTAACAGCGCCAGAATTAAAAGAAAAAACACTAACAAACATAAAAAATTAAAAAAAAGCAACAACTCACCTTGCAGGTTTGAAAAAATGCGCCAACACTGGTTTTCGTATAGAAATCAGCATTATTTTTGGGCGCTTTGGCGGGCAACGTTTGCTGCTGCTGTTGAATGGCATTTTGTTGTTGTGTGGCAGCTAGCGGCGCATGCGGTGGTGCGGTTTTAATAGCAACCGTATCCATGTTTATAACTTTTGGCGGTGATATTTGTGGAAAATATGATTTTTTGTTTTTGGTTAAAATTATAAATTATTATTTAAGTTATTTTTGTTGGCGTAGTGGACATTTTTGAGTACTATTTATTAGATTGCAATACTTTTGCCAAGTAATTTGTGGTAAAAGTTGGCATATGCAATGCTTAGGCCGCGTTTACACGCCTGAATGCACGCTGGCAGTGATTAGTTTTATTGTTGTTGTATGCAGGCACTCACATAAGTATATCAAATATTTATTGTATATATATTTTCAATGCAGCATATTTGTTTTTGCTTTCGATATATATTTTTATTGATACACACACTTGTTAGCTGCAAATAGCATACCCTTTTCTACACATACAACCACACATACATTTGTATGTATAATATATGTATGTATTTGCAAAATATGAACATATGAGCACACACTTGATGAGGGTTGCGCACCTTTTCTCGGCGCGTCTGCTTATCTGTCCGTCCACCTTGGCAAGTGTTCGGTCGGTGTGCCAAGTGTATTTTTTTTACTTAGCGCAAAAACGAGGGAAAGAGATCAACACAACAAAAACAATTTCGGAACTACAGCACAACAGTTGTTGATTTACTTCCCTTCCGCTTTAGCATTGCGCTTCTTCTTCGTGTTTGCACACTTTCGAGCGCAGCTTTCGACTTTTACACCTGTTCTTCGCTGTCCGGGTATATAATTTATATGTCTTGCCTGCGTATATGGTTACTAAGCAGGGAAACTTGAACTTGTGCTTGTTACGTTTGCAGCTCTTATCGACTTGTCTTCAATTTTCTTCAATTTTATTTGGTTGTATTTGTTTTTATGCACACTTTTTGTTGTTATTTACTCAAACTTTATATGGTTTAGTCATATATATGTATATCATATGTCATTATTCAAATGTATGTATGTCACATAAGATCAGCTCACTATGTCTTCTGGGCTTTTTTCGTTATGCTTTTCATTTGCTTTAATTACTTTTTTTTCGTTTACACGGTCCGTTCGCTTCATAGCTGACATCAAGTGTCAAAAGTTGCACGTTGCTGGCTACAAGGAGTTCACAGCTTTAATTAACACTCAAAGTTAGACGCGCTCTATCGCTCTTTTTTATTTACTTATATATTTTTGTTGGGTCTCAGCACATTTTTCGCAAGAACTGATGAGTATATAACAGTACGATATCAGTAATTCTCATAAAACAGTTACACATTACTACAAATTCAAATCCATGTAAAATTACAATAACAAACACTTCTGCCTCATCACTTGCGTCTAGATTTCACTTATCCACAAAATATGGTAATCACTTCTTTCTCAAAATCACTTTAACTATCAAAAATAACTTCAACTAGTACTTTAGTATTCATACTCTCAAGTACTTCGTTTACTTTTTCTCCACAATCGTGCACATTAACACTCAGCCGCTGTTTTTCTAGCGCTCCTCTTCTTCTTCTTCACATCAAACATATAATTTCTCTAGTTAAGTTAGTTTGTGCCACATTTTTTTTTCCTCGCTTCTGATTTGTTTTTATTGCAATTGCATTGTTGTTGGTCTTCACTGGCGTTGTTGCTTCGCTTACTTGCGCCATCACGTCCACTACTCTTTACCGCATGCGATACACTGAATTTACCTGGCGCACAGGTAAACGAAAAATCCCTAATAGCAGCGCGTTTAGTCGGTGGCTTACCGCTGTGTGTATGTGTGTGAGAATGGCGTGCTTGTAAAGCAAACATTTTCGAACAACAACTAAGAGTGCGGCTTGCCTGCTCAAATAAACAATTGTTGCTGTTGGCATGTGAGCGACGCGCTCTTTGTCTTGGCTACCTGTTATACCAGCCAATTTGATAAGCTAAGCCGCTCTTGTGTTGTTTGGTAAGCGAGAGCAAAAGGGAAATTATGTTTAGTTGCACTTAAGCTTGGATGTATTTGTTGCCTGCTTTCAGGCGTGTAAGTTGATGAGTTATAAGTTAATGGATAAATAGTAAGCATCGCAAATAAATGTTAATATTAACTGTCTTATGTTAGGCAAGAGCTGTTATTGCTAAAATGATGACTGTTTACTACAGCAAGACTATTAACAGATCACTTCTAACAACTTAACAGGCTTTAGTTAAATGTTTATTTTACAGTTTACAGAGAAACTGTTAATTACATAAGAGTATTGCTGCTAGCAGAAAATGTTAGAGAGTTAAACAAAAATATTTACTGTTAGTGAGTTATTTTACAGCAGCAGTGATGTATTAGGAAAAACTTAACAGATTTGTCAAAGAAAAGTCATTAACACTCTATCATTTTATGTAATTCATATAAATACTTAAATTTGACATACATATTTTTTCTAAGAAAGCCTACATATTTAGTCAAAGAAAATATTAAAAAATCCGACATAATCCTCCATCCACATCTCATTTTCGAAAAAGTTAAAGAAACAGTGTTTGAAAATCGTCCTATTGGCCTCAGAGAAATAGCAGAGGATCTCAACATATTTTGGTTAATGTTTTAGGTATGAAGCGTATCAATACGAGACTCGTCCAAAACACCTCAGACTTTTTTATAAACAACTTCGAGTGTCGATATTAGAATTTAAAACCACTTAAATTTTTTAAAGACTACATTTATTTTTTTAAATTACTATTAGTAAAGTTAGCAAAGAGACGTTTTTCAAAGTATTAGAGGACCTTACATCCATCAGAGGAATCACTACTGTTATATATGAAGTTGAAACTGTCTAAAGATCTAGTGCTTAAAGGATAAGCCGAAAACGAAAAAAACAAAAAGAAAATTCGCTAAAGGCCCTGAATTACACCACAGCCGAGGCTTATAATAAGTGCATGGGTAATTGGAAGCATGACAACTTATATTGGAACAGGAGCCTATTTTTAGGGCGATAACAATTTTTTTGTATTTATTTGCGTGAAAATGTAGTTCTTCAGTCCGGGTCAAATTTGATCATATGTTGAAAATATTCAATACAATTTAACGAACTTCACATATAACACAAGCCCTGTCCATTTGATTAAAATCTTATTATATCGACTTTGCTGTATTGAATTGATAAAAAATTTCAATTGTTAGACATTTTTAAAATATTTGTTTTTATAAATTTTAAATGCAGATTCGAATAATTTCCTTAAATAAATAGAAATTTTAAATAGGTGGCAACTCCACTGAAATATTTTACATTATGTAATTTCAAAAGTCTCTATACTAGTTGAAAAAATTTGTGAACGTATATATACTTTTTTAATTAAAAAGTTTAACAAAAAGACTTCTGTTTTTACATTTTGGGACCACCTATTTGCCCGAAATGTGAGGCAATTTAGTCATTGAAGAAGTACCTTAATTCGGGCGAAGAGAGAAATTAAATAACGGATATAGTCTATTCCAATGCATTATATTTTAATTGTAGCCTTTAAGGTGCCATTTTTTGTTTTTTTTTTTCTGAAAAAATCAACTCCAAATTTTAGTAAACATCTTAAAATTTTCACCAGCAGATTTATAACTCGTAAATATTTCATTTACCTTTTAATCGCTTTAGGATATACATTTATGTTATACTTAACAAAAAATGTTAAAGTTATTTCTATGGACTGCGTTAACACAAAACAAAAGCAGTCAGTATATTTATCCAGTGTCTAATAAAAATGTAAATGCTCGCCTCACACGCCTGAAAGTATGCACAAAATAATTTCGAAGCGACGTCTTTGACTTTGGCTCACATTTTCAAGCCACTACCACAACTTCACTGCATCCAACTAAGAGAAAACGGTGCAAAATATGCGCACAATTGAGCAAGGGATTTTTCGCGTTTATAAATATTGTTTAAAGGGAAATTTTTATATAAAACATAAAAACAAAAGCTATTGGGTTTTCGAAAACTGCACAAAAGCAGGTAAAACTTTAAGTTTTTATTCGCCACGCTGTGCCTCATATAAAACCGGATTATGGAGTAGTTTATGGTGACCCGTTAAAAAGGACTAAAAAAGTAAATCGCGAAAGTTTTCAAGTCACGTACTATGGCAGCTAAGGCAGATAAGAAATCGATTTAAAGTGAAGTAGACATAAGGCTAAAGTGGCTTTTCGAGGAAAGCAATGAGGTATAAAAAAGTGAAGGATAGAGCAATATAATAAACATAAAATAAGAGAAAGGTATAAAGTAATTTATTTTTTATTGTGGCAGGCTTTTAACAGCAGGTTTGTAGGTAGAAAATTATACGTTTGGACATGAGGAACAGCAAAATATGATATTGGGTATAACAGATATTTAAGACATATTTTTGTATAGAAAACGTCAGGAAATTAAAAAAAAAAAAACATAGAAATAACACAAAAATAAAAAAAATCCATAGTTAAAAATAATTAATAAATTAAATTATTTTGATTTACAAACAAACTTACTTTTAAACATTAAAATAAATTCTTCCTAACCTCTAACATAAGAAAAAATGTTGCTTCGCACTTTAAATTCACCATTCGAACCTACCGCCAAGCTTCAAACTTGAAAAGTAACGAACAAGCGACACATTCGTTTAGCGCGCGTGCTCAGACTCAAGAGCGCGCCTCAAGACACGAAGTAAGTAAAGCGAAAACAAAATCAACAAGAAATCTCAACTCAGCTGCAAAAGCAAAATAAAGCCAAGCCGAGCCAATAACAACCAAAAAAATGCTTGTGTATAGTATAAAGCCAAACGCGAATAAAATAACAAACAACCCAGCTTAGCCGGTCACCAAAACAAAATGGCGGCCATAGAGCTTGTTTGCGGCTGTTCTGGGCACCACACTGCCTGCCAGCTTGGCTGCCGCTCAACTCTTTCTTATTGTTTACCTGCCACTCATATCAGCAGATAGCAAGCTGAAGTAAACTGGTTCTTTGTTGTTGGTTAACAATACAGTAATACATAGATGCATGCTTATTCTTCTTATTTGGTTGGCGCGCAGCACGTAGTAGACTCGAGTAGCGAAGGAAACGTAGTAAAGTAGTAAGTATATATATATATATATACATATGTTTGTATGCAAGTATATAAATACATATACACAAGCATGAAGTTTGATTACAAATATATGTACATATAGTGAGCTTTATGTGTACTTTAAGACGCTAAAAATTGTGCCCGAAGTACTTGAGGAACACTCATACAGAAATAATATGTATATATCTATTTATAAATGTCCGTGCAGTAACAACTGAAGTTGACAGGCGCAGCAATGATCTCCGTTCACCTTTTGGCCAACACTCGATCTGGCATAAAATCGCTTTTGCAGCATTAATTGCAGCGTACGTGTGCATGTGTATGTGAGCCATAAAAAGCGAATTCGACAAGCTTTTATAAAAGATCTCCATATACATATACGTATTTATATGTTGTTATAAATATGTATATATATATATATATATATACGTGTATGTAATGATAGCGCCTAGTAGTAACAGAAATAGTGCTGCCATTAGCAGTGGTCATTGCAGCCGGAGCAAAAGGGTCGCTAATCTGTGTACTTCTCTGCCGCGCAGGACTGGCCGCCGCGGCACTCAACACCAACGGGCGATCGTCAGGTTTTAGCTACGCTCTGTGGTGGGTAGTTTAAGCCCATGATTAACTTTTTTCAGCGTTTTAATTTCCCTCGCCTGCCTCCACTGTGCTGTGATAGCCTTTCTTTATTTCTGCGCGCTGCTGCGCCTGCCTATTTCAGTTGTGCTTATCAACTTACATTCTACTTTGTTCGTTCTTTTTCTGTTGACTGTTGGCATTTTGCTGTTGTTGTTGTTGGCAATCGGCCAGTTGGCTTTGGTTTTTATTTACCGTGATTTTTTTTCTTCTTTCGATTACTTGGTCTGATGATGCGCGAAAACGCGCGAAATTTCCAGTTTCCAATTTTTAATTTAATTCTTGGCATATAAACATATGTATGCATGTGTGTATGTGTGCTAAAGCGTATGCTTTCTGAATTTTAATTGAAATAATATATTTTGTAGCGAGAAGGATATGCATTTTTGTAGTGCTTCAACGTTAACCTTATTCCAGGTGGAATTAATGCACAATATTTTATTATTGCTTCTAGCTAAACTTTACTCAGCAAAGACCAGTTCTCAATTAAAATTTTTGTAGTTTATTAGTTATGCTTTGGACCCTAATATATTTGTTTTAAATAAGTCAAACTTTGACATTTGATCAACCAAACTATGTATGTATTTACGCAATCCCTCAAAAAAGCTCCTGATTCTAGTAAGTGAGTAGTAAGCAAGTCATTACGACCTTTTGCCAAGAAGTAACAAAGAAAACATTTTGAACAAAAATACATATGTATATGAACTTGACAAAATACTGGAAGCAGTACTTAATCTTCACTACTTAATAAAGAAGTTCTTAAAAGACTTTGGAGATAGAAAGGCTAATTTCTTGTCGGACTCAGGTTGTATGGAGGAAAGAGAAGTGGTCTAATGAACATTTATAGTAAGTTAAGGCACCAAAATCGACAGTCTAACCTGTCGAAATGAGACTCCTGTTAGGATTGACCTGATAACTAAACCTAATCTAACAATGAATAGAACTCTATTGCTTATTTTCACGAAATTATGCCTAGTTTTTTAAGTTAATGGCGCTG